TAATCTATATTAGGATAAATAAATGCAGAAGCAGGATTCAAATGCCTATATGTATGTAGACTAGTTAATCAAATTGAGCGCTTAAGCCATAAATATGAATGCGCTATAGAGTTAACATGAACTTTTTTGATTTAATAGCTAGTGTAAAGGCATGCCCCATGAGAACAAATCACACCCCCGCACGGCAAATTTAGGTGGAAGGCTAGAGTAAATGTGAGTGTAACATTCATCCTGATGTGGAACAGGGTCACTTCGGGCTCTTTCTGCGCTGGAATCGGTTTCTTGGCGGATCTCTTTCTCCATTATCTAAATAGAAGACAAGAAGGACTGATTAAACTAAAGCATTCTTACATTTGGAGTGGTAAAGGCAAGTGATCGAAAGGTAACTATTAAAAGGCATTTATGTATAATGAAAGATTAGTTTTGAGCATCAATATGATAAAATTAGTAAATTGATCAAGTAAAAATGTCTTGTTGATTAAGGTTCAACTTCAAAGTTGATGTCCCACTCTAAAAATCAAAGTGGAAGAGCAATAAACGTAAATTTAGATTTAAATACATGAAGACTAAGAGGGTGTGGCTCTCGTCATGGTCGCAGTAAGAACTTCTCTCTGTTAATGAATACTTGCAGAAACGCCATAGATTATGTTACTACTGCCAGAGCTGGTTATGTTATCTAACTCCTAAACGTATGGTGCAGGAAAATTCATACAAAACCTAATTGTGAACGAATAGACGAAAAAAATGCACTGTAGAAGCCAATAAAAAAGGAAAGGGGTACATAGCTATGTAATAATAGGGTAGATAGAGTTTGTATGCAAAGCAATATTGAAAAGGTTGAGCAAAGCTAATAGCGGGAATCGAACAAGCTGCGTAGTGTATTAAACATTGAAGAAACGGTATTGCTTCAAAGCCGATTCGGATAAAAGCCTTGTGTTGCTGGGATGACAGGTAAAGTCCTGTAGACACGGAGTTAAAAGGAGGTTGGAGGAATTTGTTTGTAATTAAATGTTGGTTGAACCTTGCCCTCCATTACACAGAGTGCTAGCTGACTTTACCATGACGAAAAATAGTGTGTACGGAGAAGCGGGATGTAAGAAGCAATGCTATGAGCGCTATCCAGAGAAAGAGCTGGATTGAGCGAGCTACGACACTTTAAAGACGGAAGCTCGATGGTTCTCGAAGAACCAAGCGTCGAGAATCTCCACGGGACCTCCGCTGAGGCGATGTGTTGCGCGCCAGAAGATGCCTCTGTAACAGGGAAGATGTTAGTGTAGAGAAATTGATCCATTCCGCTTGTCCTAGTGAATAATTTAGGGGACGTGAGGCTTAGCTTTAAGTTAGTGTGATGTAGTCGACTCGCCTTTGTAAGATCGATCAACTTTTATATTCAGGTCAGACCGGCGAGTATATAGTTTGTCGAAAGACAGAGTGCTAGTCAAAGCCTGGGCATTGAGACTAAGGTGTATTCGCATGTCTGGATCGTGAGTGATCCATACGTGAAAAAGCTGTTGGGAGAAGACCTGGTGCGTAAAGTGATACATTCCGACTCATTTTCCGAGGTTAGATGAAAGATAGAAAGTCTACTAACAATGCAATGGAAGGAAAGATTCGGCCTCACGCAACAAGGAAAAACTGATGTAAATGATATGAAATGATGCACGGGTGGTCAAATATACTCATCGCAACACTTGGATCTATGCGATTGGTTAGTAACCGAAAATGCCAGTTTTGTCGTCTAACTCTAGATACGTTCTTTTATGTCGCGTGAGGTCATTGTGTCAGGACGGAGCATAAGGAAAAAAGGGTCGGAGCGAGAGGGAACAGACGTCCTCAGAAAGCGGAAAATGATGCTGTCCTTAGTCGTCTAACTTCAGCGTTCTTGCCTAATTAATTAATTGCTTGTGTGTGGCTCCAGGATGATGGCTCTGCTTGACGCGATCAGTCAAGTGGATCCAATAGAAAAACGTGTGTTCAAGTTGTGGTCAAATGAGTAATGATTAAAATGTCTTTTGTGAAATTGAAAAATGTTTCGCACAAGATGCGAAATTCTAGAATGAAGCAAATTGATGTAGTGATAACGGATTAGGACTAATTACCACACTATAAATACTTTAGTTTGAGAATAGCTCAAAGGTCACGCGTGATTGATAGATATATAAATACTTCATCATAGATAAAAAGTACGGATATTAAAGGAGTAAATAATAGATTGAGACAGTGTACTAAAAATAGTGGTTCAAAATAGTCAACCGTTGTATATTTAGGTATCTTGGAGTGTAGCATAGTATTGTTGGGGAAACTTTCATTTCGTATAAACGTGCATGAAAAATAAATTCGAATGTCGACCTCATTAGAAAACCACGTCTGATTATCGTTATATTGCAGCAGTTTGACTTTAATATAATATTCAGATTAACAAAGTCCACGAGACATTTTTCCTCGTTTCGGGTGAAAGTGAGTTCAGATTTGGTTAATCATTTGATAGATATTATCAGAGCTAGAACTCATTCTTGTAAAAGTCTCACGTCAACACTATGTCAAGAAGACTATCCGGCTCTATCCTACCTCTTATATAGACTCATAACTAAAAACGAAAGAGGTTAGTCATAGATATATATACAATTATTTGACTAATATCCTTCATATTGGTCCCGCTTTTTTTTGTCGAGCGTATCTGGGTTAACGTCTATAGGTAATGCCTGTCCTAAATCAGAGTGATCAAACAAGACAAATGTCAGGCTCTGGTCATAAATGCTAAATGACCCAAGAAAAAGTCATGAAAGACTGCGTAAGTCCGTAAGCAGAATGAGTTCCAGCTCTGATGTTACCCATGATATGATGGAGGAAAGCTCAGCTCGTCTTCACTCAAAACGAGGGAGTTTTTCTCGGGAACTACGTCAGTCTGAACATCATATTAAAGTCAAACGGCTTCAATACAACGGGAAACAGCCGTCCTCTTCTGATGAGATCAACCTCCGAATATCTTTTTAATGCACTTACATACGAAATAAAAGTCTCTCCAACAATGTTATCCCCGAGTCATCGAAGCACAGTTGCTCTTCTTATGTAGTGTGTTATTTTAAAAAAAGATGAGAGAAAATTAAATGAAGGATTGATAAAATGGAGATTATCCTTATACAATACTAAGGGAGAAAAATAAACTTCGTGACGGTCATAAGCAAATATAATGTATCCTATAAATAGGGATTCGCCAGAGGTATCCCAAAGCATCAAAATCTATGTCCACATATAATAAAAAATAATATAAAAAAAAACCGTAAACAATTACTTAAATAAATTTTATGTGTTTTAACATATATCCCATTTCATTAGTGC